ATTATATCATTATTATTGTTTTTTTGAGACACTGTCACTGTGTAACAGTCTTGACTGTCCTGGAACTTACCCTGTCGACCAAGCTGGCCTCAAACTCACAGAGATCCACCTACCTATGCCTCCTGAGTGCTAGGATTAAAGGCATGTGCCACTACTGCCCGGCTGAGTTTTTTATTTTATTTTTTAACATTTATTTATGTGTGCATTGGTGTTTTTTCTGTATGTATAACTGTATGAAGGTGCCAGATCCCCTGAAACTGGTGCTACAGACAGCTGTGATCTGCCATGTGGGTGCTGGGAATAGAACCCTGGTTCTCTGGGAGATCTTCCAGTACTCTTAACATCCTAGCCATCTCCCTAGTCCAAGATTTTTTTTTTAAACAAAAACAATCTCGATGGGTGGTGGTGGTGCATGCCTTTAATCTCAGCATTCAGGAGGCAGAACCAGGCGGATGGATCTCTGTGGGTTCGAGGCCAGCCTGGTCTACAGAGCAAGATCCAGGACAGGCACCAAAACTACACAGAGAAACTCTGTCTTGAAAAACAAAAACAAAACCAAAACAAAACAAAAAAATCTCACAGCATTTATTGCCACCCAATAACATATAGGCTACCAAAACAATATAAATAAATGTTTCAGACTGTACTCCTAGCAGAAGATTATTTTATCTATCTATCTATCTATCTATCTATCTATCTATCTATCTATCTATCTATCTATCTATTTATTTATAAAATGTTTCTCTGTATAGCCCTGGCTGTCCTGTAACTCACTCTGTAGACAATATTGGCCTGAAAGATCTGCCTACCTCTGTCTCCCAAGTGCTGGGATTAAAAGTATGTGATACCCGCATCTGGGTGAGTGTCCCAAAAGAGATGGGGTATGTATGTGTGTTTGTGAGTTTGTGTCCTTGCTATGTTGTCCAGTATAGAGTGCAGTGGATATTCATAGGCAAGATCCCATTACTGATCAGCACTTGAGTTTTGACATGCTCCATTTCCAACCTGGGCACCCTGGTGGTCCCAGCTCCTGGGAGGTCGTCATATTGATGCTGAACTTAATGCAGACACCTGATCTGCACAGTGCACTGAGTTCTGGAAACAGAACTCAGTGACTCAAGAGATCCTCCTATTTCAGCATCCCCAGTAGCTGGGACTACAGGTGTGCACTACCTCGCCCAGCAGAAGACACCTTTAAAAATACTGTACTGCCTTCTCAACTTCTGTCCTTGGCCATTTCTAATTGGAAACACTTTGAAGCAAAGTAATATCATTTCCTTTTAGGATGATCCTGCCCAGTTGTTTTCTTGACTTTGTTTTAGAATGAATCTCTTATATCATCTGAGGTTCATGTACTCACCAAAGCCAATAATACAACCCTCACACAGCCACATCTAAATTTGAGATCTATTTCGCAAGTAAAAAAGATGTGGTTCCAAAATCCAGAGCTCATATTCTGTTGTATAGGGTACAATGGGCTGCACTTTCTGGTCCTGGCCATGGTATGCCATGGTGGAAGTTACAAAATGTAGCTGAGATCTTTTAATTTTTAAAATTTATTATTAATTTTTAAATTTGTGTATGTGCCTTCTTGTCTATATATGCACTACATGCACACAGTGACAATAGAGGCCAGAAGCAGAGATCAGATACTCCGGGACTGTAGCTTAGTGTGCTCGTCTAATGCACAAACCATTAGTTTGGCCCTCAGTGCCCTCTCTTTCTACCTATATATGCATGTCTACATTCAAAATTTGCATGTAGACAGATATTTGTAACTGAGATTTTTTTTAAAACAAAAACAGTCTCACAACATATATTGTCACCTGATAATAACATACAGTTGTGAACCATTAAGAAGCCAAGAGCTCTTTAAGAGCTGTCCACCCTTCTATTTTTAAGACAAGGTCTCTTATTGGGATCTGGGCTCCTGATTAGGTCAACATAGGCTAGATGCACTAGCTAACTAACTAGCTCTAGGCATCTATCTGTCTTTACCTTTCCAGCGCGGGGATTACAGCACACAGGTGTCACTGTACCTTAGCTCTTTATGTGAGTGCTGAGGATTGAACTCAGGTCCTTCTGCTAGCATAGCAAGCACTTTACCAACTGAACTATCTCCCTAGCCCCAAATGGGAGCACCATTAAGGCTGTGCCTATGTAGACAGAGGCCAGGATGGAAGGTGGCAGGCTCTCTCAACAGTGTTTAAGAGAGCACATCTTGTGTGTAGCTTGAGAGCCCAGAGCTCACCACACAACATCACTCAGAAATATGAGACCAGCATCCCTGACTCTGTGGTTTTGTACCCCATGAGAGTGTTTGGGGGAATGGGTTGAGTAATGAATACTCTGAAGTGCTAATTCCTTTGTTTGTTTGTTTGGTTTTTTGGTTTATCTGTGTAGCCCTGGCTGTCCTGAAACTCACTTTGAAGACAAGGCTGGCCTTGAACTTCACAAAGATCTGCCTGCCTTTACCTTCTAAGTGCTGGGACTAAAGGTGTACACCACCACACCACCCAACTGAAGCGCCAATTCTTTCTTTTCTTTCTTTTTTTTGTTTTTTTTTTGTTTTTGTTTTTGTTTTTGTTTTTTTTGAGACAAGGTTTCTTTCTTTGTGTAGCCCTGGCTGCCCTGGAACTAGCTCTGGCCTGGAACTCACAGAGATCCACCTGCCTCTGCCTCCTGAGTACTGGGATTATAGGCATATGCCACCATTGCTCAGCTGAAGTGCTAATTATTAAAAGTGGAAATAAACCATTTGGTGGTGGCTCACACCTTTAATCCCAGCACTAGAGAGGCAGAGGCAGGGAGATCACTGTGAGTTCAAGGCCAGCTTGGTCTTCAGAGCGAGTTCTGGGACAGCCAGGGATACACAGAACCATGTCTCAAAAAAACAAAAAACAAACAAACAATAAATAGTGGAAATAAATAGCTGGGCTGAGATATACTGTGAGTGGCTATTCAGCTCTCAACCCTAGAAGTCATGAGAGTTGTTTTATTATTGGTTGGTTTTGCTTCTTTTCACCTTTAAAGAACGAACCTTTTATTTTGTAATAACTTTAGATTTCAGAAAAGTGGCAGGTTGTACAGCCCAGAATTCCGGTGTGACTTTTCCAGGCTCCAAGTTTCTCTACTGTCATTTGGCTTTGCTACATGCCTTTGTGAGTATCAGGAAGCCCTTGCTGGCACAACTCTCTACTACAGTTAAGACTTTCTTTGGATCTTACCACCTAGTTCCCAAAGCTCTCCTTTCTTCTCCAGTCCTCTCCATTGCACCATTATACTTAGAGATACTACATTTTACATTTTTGTAGGCTGAGGCAATTTCTCAGGCTTCCTTTGTTTCTCATGAGCTTCAGTTTTAAGGCTCACTGATTAGGTACTGAGTAGACAGTACCTCAAGTAGGATCTACAGGGTGTACTTTCTGAGGACTAAGGTAATAAGTTTTAGAATCTCAGAGATGAGGTGCCCTCTTGTCACATCATCTTAGAGGCACCTGACATCCACATGATTACCCCCCAGTTCTGGGTGGAATCACTTAGGTAAGGTGGTACTTACCAAGAATCTCTACAAAATTCTTATTCTTTCCTCTTCTGGTCCTATTTTTAAAAATGTTTTGTTTTTAATTTATGTGTATCTGTGTTTTGGTTTGTACATATGAGTGCAGGTACCTGCAGAAGCCAGGAGTGTCAGATTCCCTTGGCTGGAGTTACAGGCAGTTGTGAGCCATCCATCCTGGGAACCAAACTTGGGCCTTCAGCAGCAGCAGTATATGCTTTTAACTGCTGAGCTAGCTCCCCAGACCCCTTCTGGTTCTTCTGGGGAACCCCAAAAGGCTTTTCCTGATGGGAGGGAGGGGCTACATCTCAAAAGGCAGGACAGAGCACCATTCCACAGTCCCCTATGGACCACAGTCACTCTGTTCACTTTCTATCTGAGGCCCTAGCTTAGGAGGAAGGGCCAGGTAACTCTAGGAAAGTAATTCATTACATGGGGAGATACTGGGCACATGGTAGGTACTCAGGGAATATGCTGCCTTTCCTTCCTTCTAGGACTAGTTTAACACAACAATTTTTCTTTCCCTATCATGTCTCAGGCTAGTAGACCTGAGAACTCCCAAATGGAGTACCAAATAGAGCCAGGTGTCCCTTTCACCTGTGGTGCTATCAGCAGAACTATCACCAGCCTGTGCAATGTGAGCCTTGAAGCTGTAGCCTCTGGGGAGCAGCGCTTTAAAGCTGGGACTAAGGCCCAGCCCTCATTGCCTGTTCTGAGATGGAATTACAGCCCCAGACATACCAGTGAGGGCAACAGGTTCTCCCCCAAGGCCTGGTGAAGACTCCAGGTACTTCTGTGTGTTCTGGAACAGCCGGGACTGCAACCTGTCAAGTAGGTTCAGGGAAAGACTGACTACCAGGGCTTCTGAGTGTGTTTGGATAAGGCAAGTATCCCTTTATAGAAGTGACCTGTCACAGGGACTACTGAATAAAGGTGGAGAAAGGACTTTGAGGATGCAGAAGGGGAAAGAAGACCATAGCTGGGACCTGGAGAAATGGGCTAGAACTTGTGTGGAAAATCTGCTCTTAAGAGACAACCCAAGTGGGCTCAGGACACCAGCTGAGACCCAGGAATAGGGTCCAGACTTTAGAGTGTGGAATGCTGGTGGGTACCTGAGGGTATGGTGGGAGCAGGACTGTCCCTGACCTATGCTGGGGTCTTCCCAGGGCCTGTGGTTGGGATGAGCTGCTTAGAAACCCTCAGAGGAAAGCACTGTGTCAGGATCCATTTGTAGCGCACAGCCAAGTAAGGTTTGCCTCTATCCAAAGTGCATACTTGGTTCTGACTGGGCACCGTGGCTGCTTCCTGCCCCTGTGCTAGGTCTAGCATAGGGGTCTGGCTGACATATCCTCTGATTCTGCTCTGTTCTTTCCCCATCTCTTCCCCTTGGTCTGCTGAGGCCTGGCCCCCAACCTATTCTCTTGGTCTTGAGTCTCAGTACCTCTCCTTCCCCCAGTCCAGGGTTAGCCAGGAACATAGCAGGTGTGGCTTTGCTCCTTTCAATATTGCTGGAAATGCAGGGAACTCTGGAATGCTAAGCCCTGGCCCCATAGCTGGTAGGTGGGAGGCAAGGCTTAGGGAGCAAGGAGCTGCCAGTTGGCTATGGTACTTTGGAAGGACAGTTGGGGTGAGGGAGCATTTGGAATGGAGATGGGGCGACAGTTGGCAATAGCAGCTGGAGCGGCAGTTGGGGCTTGGCAGGGGCACAAGCCTGGAGGACAGTTGGGGTGGGGCAGCCATGGGATTGGCAGGTAGCCCTTGGCCTGGAGCAGCTCTGGAGGACAGTCTTGCAGAGGCCTGGACAGGAGGGCAAGTCCAGATGGCTCTAGACCTGGCCAAACTATGCCCAGGAAGCCCATATTACAGAAGCCTGGGTGAGGAGCTCCTCCCATGGCCATGGATTGGTCTTTGCTGCAGACTGAGGCAGGATTCAGTTCCACTACAGGGGCCAGGATGATGTGTGGTGGGCGGGTCCCAGTATCCCCAGCCCACAGCAGTACTCTTTCTTCCCTCCCTGCTCTTGGCCTCTCTAGATAGGGACTTCCAGCAGAGTGCTGGAGAGGGCAGGGACAGGTTTCTGGAAGGGGGCAGGACTCTCAGGTCTGTTGCCATGGGGACGACTGAGCAACACCACTGGCTGGAGGATAAACAGGCAGTCTCTCTGACCAGTGACTGAGACAAAGACAGCTACAGAAAAACCAGCTGGGGGTAGATGAGGAAATGCTGCCTTGGGGGGAAGATGCCTAGCAATGACAGGGTTGGTGGGGTGGTACCTCTACTAGATATGGAGGAATATTTGCTGTTCTTCTGGAATTTTCTTTTCCAAAGCTCCTCCCAGGCTATTGCTTACAAAGCAGACCCTGAGGCTAAATGCAAGTAAGTCCCTGATCTCTATTGTTTCACAGTTCTTTGCCTGAGGTTGGGCCCCTTCTTGCTCCTCTGCCCCTTGAAAGCCACACGGTGTGTTGATGGAGGGCAGGTTACCAGTAAAGCACATAGGGGTCTCTAGGATTTACAGAGGATGCTGGGCCTGGCCAGCCACATGGCACTCTTAAAGGCTATCATGGTGGTGTTCCAGGTACTTGGGATAGAAGGGGCCCATTCTGAGGGCCTTCTATCAGAAAGCACATTCATGGCCTGATCAGCTTCTGCACCCTTTCTTTGGCCCCCAGAATGTGTGGCCTGATGCTAATTCCCTTCATGGATTTGGTATGTTCCTTGATGGTCTCCTGACATGCTCATACAGGTAGCTTGGGGTGAGTTTTTGGTTGTTGTTATTGTTTTTTAAGATAGGGTTTTAAAGAATGGCCTGGATCTCACTTTGTAGACCAGGTTGCCCTTAAACTCAGAGAGATTCATCTGCTTCTGCATCTCAAGTACTGGAATTAAAGGTGTATGCCACCACACCTGGCTCAACTTTTTTTTTATTTGTATTTGTGTGTGTGTGTGTGTGTGTGTGTGTGTGTGTGTGTGTGTGTACATGTGCAGCTGGCTGCCTATCAAGGCCAGAAGAGGGTGTTAGATCTCTTGGAGCTGATGTTATAGGCAGTTATGAGCTACTCCAACGTAGATGCTGAGTGAGAACCAAACTTGGGTTCTATGCAAGAGCATTAAGCAAACAATATTAAACACCGAGCTATCTCTCCAGCTCCTGGGGGTAACTATACCATGGTCTCAACCGATAGCATGGACCCATGTGGCTGCAGGACACTGACCATCTGTCTGTCTGTTCACATTTTCTACTGCTTACTGTTGATAGCCAGGATCATGCCCATCTTCATGGAACCTTCCCAGACCCCTGTTATGGATGCTGAATGCCATGATCAGAGTGTAACTGAGGCCAACCTATCTGTCCATTCTTGAGAGTCATCTCTAAGGCAGGTCACCTGGTGTGAGAAACTGTGAGTTCCTGAGCCATTCTGGTAACACATCAAAGCAGACACATTTAGACACTTGGGCCAACTCTGCTATGACTTCCCTTACCCTCACATCTGCCAAGAGGTTGCAGTTGCTGCTGTTTGGGTTTTTAAACAATTATGGGGTTTATTAGCTTGCAGAACAGTGATAGTGAGGAGATAAGGTGGGTCTGTCTCATCTCAGGGGGTTGTTCTTCAATCTGTCTACAAGCTACTGTATTGTCTTTATGTCTAGGCCTTGTATCCTGGTGCTGGCTTTTGGAGCAGAAAATATAGGAGTCTTGGTCCAGTCACTGGTAGTGCTGCTGGGGTGGAGGTGCAAGAGTGTGTATGTGTGGAAAGGGGGTATCTGCTCTGTCCTGGCTCATTTCAGAAGTCAACAAGAGTTCCTATGAAGATGAGTAGCCCTTTGGCATATGGAGTGGGCCTGTTAGTGTTAGACACAGGTGTGGTTGTCATAGGCTTCCTGAGCAATGACTGAGCTCCACTGTGTTTGTGGGCAAGGTTCTTCTATTGCTCCCAAGTTCTGCATGGGAAACAGACAGCATAAACATCAACATGATCCTTCTTGAATGTGTCTTGGGTGCCTAGTTACCTTGAGAGAAACTAGGGCTCTCTCTGAGGGAGAGTGAACTTAGAGGTCTCCTCATGCTTCACTTTCTTCATGAGCAGCAAACAGAGACCAAACTGAGAAAGGGGATGGTCTGAAGGACTATCTACAGTCAGTGTTCTTTGTCCCCTCAGAGGGAGTTGTACCCAGACCGACCCTCGGATCTTCCCGGAGGTCAGGAGCGGTAGTCAGAACTGTGCTAGTCCTACTTCTCCAAGGATAGGCACACTGAGGAGGGCAGGATTGGGGTGTGTGTGTTGGTGGTGGTGGGGCTTGCTTCAGACCAGTTGTGCCAAGAGAGTCCTCCAGCAGAAAGAATGAAACTAGGGACACCTGGGCCATGAGTGCCAGCCTAGGTGCCTGGCGAGGGGTGGGCAGGGCATGTGCACAGCCATCTCCTGTAGGGAATATCCCTGGCTTTCATCTCTGACTGCCAGACCTCTGCTCGCCCTTGCTCACTCAAGGAGAATCTCCTCCTGCCAGCCCTCCCACTGCCGCCCATGAATGCCTCCTCACACAACATGAGAAATCCTCCATCAGGGCGGGCGCCTCCCACCTCCAGAGGAATTTCGCGGCGCTGGCCCCTCGAGGAGGCAGGGCGCAGACAGCCTAGGGCGCCTTGCGATTGGTTGGCCCAGCAGGGCTCAACTCCTCTAAGCCCCTGGCCAGCTACAAGCTCACCTCCTCCCCTCCGCTGTGCCCAGCAGGGAGCGTGGTGGCCTTTAACCCCGGCGCAGGCCAGCCAGGAATGTACGCTACCCGTTCCAGCTCCCCAAAGGCTCGAGGACACAGAAGGCAAGAAAAGACGCGCGGCACCGCACCACTGGGGGCGGGGTGTAGAGACCCATCCCTAGCTATACGGGAATCGAGATGCGACCACTGGTTGGGAGCTGCTGGCCAAGACAGGGTTCTCGCCACTTGTCTGAGCCCCACGCCCTCACCAGCAGCTGGATGACAAGACCGACGTGCGGCAGCCAATGCTCCTAGTTGGCCAAATATGAGTACCGTTTGCAGGCACCGCCACGTGGCCCGCTTCTCAACGCGCGCTTCTCTGGGAGAGCGCCCAGGTCCCCGGATGGCGGGGGTGCAGAGTGACCAGCTCCTTCAGGGCACCGCGCCCCTAGAGCGCGTTTTCTCCGCTCAGCATGAGCCCCGCGGAACCGCCATGGCGCGCCTGGAAGTCGCTAAGTTTGGGAGACGCGCGTACGGCGACGGCTCCTCGGGGTTCGGAGACAGCCATGACCCTGGGTCTCGTGCGTCCCCAGGGACAGGCGCTCAGACGACGCGGGGTGCGCCAACCCGACCCTGCTGCGGTGCCCTTGTCCAGCCCACCTCTCCCATCAGGTGGTCTCCGTCTGCGCGATCCCGCAGGGCGGGAGCGTCGGACCCACGGACCCCATTCCTTGCCACTCGCAAGCCCATGGGAGGGGGCTTCCCACAATGCCCAGCGAGCTCCAGCCCGCACTTCCGCTGTCCGGCCCCGCGGGGGGGCGGTGGGCCGCCGGAGCACCGGCGGCTACTCGGCCCCGGCC